TTCAGATTAAGAATTTAAAATTAAAATCTCTAACTAAGTGCTTACCTAGTTATTATCTAATAAAGAATTGAGTTATTTGTATTAAAGAGAGAATAAAAAATCCAAGTAATACTTGACATTATTTCAAAATTAGAAATAGATTCAGCTAAAATTATAATATTTATATAAAATAAAAAAAATCAAAGTTATTATTTAATAAAGAATTAAGTTATTGGTGTTAGAAAAAGAATAAAAACGCTAAGCAATACATGACATTATTTCAAAATTAGAAATAGATTTAGTAAAATGTAGTGTCTGTGAAGTGATTGTTAGTAAGTTGACAAGATTCTGATACAAATCAAGTTACAGCAGCATTCTAAAGGGAGACTTGAGATACTAACTTGGTAATAACAATACAACAGATACTAACTAGATATGAATACATGTGTAGAACATGCACTGCTCTGTTGGGCTTACTCTTGAGAATAGTAAAGTGTTTTAAGTTTGGCTGATGATGTGGTGTTGCAAAATCTACAACTCAAATAAAGTTACACCCACGTTAGGTAAGCATTAGGCCGAATATGTTAATGCCAAAAAGTTTAAATAAGTAATCCCATTGTTGGGTTACAGGTACAGCAGATAGTGCAAAACTCTTAGCATAGCATTAATGCTTTGGACAGACTATCTAAATTAGGCACCAAAAGTGTATGTGTGGCTGATGTACCTTCGTAATAATGTATAGTGTTTGAACTTAATAAAATTCGCCGACCAAGAGAGTCTCCTTTAAAAAAATAAAAAAATAAAAAAAAAAAATAACAAAGCAAATTTTAAATTTTTTTAAATCTTTAAATAAAAAAAAATATTATATAAAATCAAAAAATTAAAGTGCTTTTTAAATTATTACTGTATATTGTCTACTGTGAAAAAATCCAATTAACGTGTTTAAAAATACAAATTCTCAAGATTCTCGATTCTCCATTATTATCTCTAGTAGTATATTAAATCTGGCAGTTAGACAAAATAATTTTAATTTTCTAGTTTTTGTTTTTTGTTAGTGGGAATTTTGATACTATTTCGACAAATCAACTATTAATTCTAATGTACTATTGGGGCAATGCCGCAGAATCGAAATATGATTGGAAATCTTGAGAATTTTTATTTCTAGACACGTTAATTTAAACATAAAGTACTTTATTATATACACGTTTAAACTAGTAAGCCACAAGTCTTTGTTTTGTGTTTTTATCTACATTATCACGCTCCGGATACAAGACCACTTCAATCGGTATTTAACCGTTCATTAGCATTGCACTAAAAGTCGAGAAGAAAAGTGAGTAGTAAAATGGCACATAAGATCCTTTAACCTAGATGATAAGTATGGTGATGTTAAAGAAAGTGCTTTGAGACTACACGGAGAACATGGCATTTCACCAAATATCGAAAAAAAAAACTTTACTATGACCGTTAATAAAAGTTATGTAAACTTAGTCAACCCTAGCTTTAATGTAACCAATCCCTGGTGCTCACATATGAAGTACGTACGTCGCATCAGTGTTCTTTAACGTTAATATGATCTAATGAATAATATATCCGGATATCCAGCGAGTATCCGAATATTTAGATATACAATGATTGACATTATAAAAACGCACCTATGGTGGTTTTGCACCTATTATATGCTTTTATTAAGTTTTTATAAGTTTTGTATGTAGTATACATTATCTTAAAAAAACTAATTAATTAGTATGCGACACTTTAAGTAAAAATGCTCTACACTCTTCCCAAACTCTAATCCTAACCCTAATACTTACCCTAAAATGAACTAAAAATTATATATATATACAAAACTTTTAAAAACTATATATGAAACATATTTTAGTGATAGGTGCAAAGCCACCATAAGTACGTTTATAATAAGTAAATTTTTAACTCGATTTTTTCACGTCAGGGATTAGATAAGGTTTGGAAGGGGTGTAGGGTACTTTTACTTAGAATCGCACCAATTAATTAGCTAGTTTTTTGAGATAATGTATGCATAGGTGTAAAATACCATAGGTTCATTTTAAAAAATAAAATAAAAAGTATATATATATATATAAATAAATGTTTTTTTAAGGATCCACTTAATTATGATACTTTAATACTTTAATACGTATCAAATCAATCTTTAAATAAAACAAATCAGCACTATATATATACAGTATATATAATGAATTTACCAAATCAAAATGAAAAATCATTATATCGATATATATTTGTAAATTAAATCAACATATATATGGGTAATTATTTTTAAATCCAGCCAAAATGTTATTTACGTCATATATAAAATTAGTCCGGGTTCAAAAATAATCACCCATATGATAATAAAGTGTGATTTACCGTTACGAATTTAATTTATCTAGGATATTCATTTTATACGTATTAGCCAGATGTCAAGAAAACTGAATGAATGAATATCCGGATATTTATTTTTGACCGATAGAACCTCTAGATATAGCATTTTTCTCTACTTCATCATACATTATGTCTAACCAATCACATCACATTGATATACTACAAATGATATGAATTATACGTCCTACGTATGTATTTATATAACGATAATCATACTATGTAATTTATATAATGATACTGTAAATATAATGAAAACTATGCCTTTTAATTTTATAATGATATAATCATAATATGTATAATTTATACAACAATGATACTGTACACGTACTACGTATGTATATTTTTTATTGTATTTATTTAAAATTTTCCCATTATATATACTATATATCTGAAACTTATTGTACAATTTATTATGCTATATCAAATCACCCCCTTTTTTATTACCGGATTTAAACATGCAGTAATATGCATTAGAGATCAGAATATGTGTGTATTCTAGAGATGTTTGTAATACGTAAAAAATAAATATGCAATAAATTAATTGAACTATTCCACCATACATATTTAGATTGTAGTTCAGCCAATTCTTATGAGTCAAACTTTATGCAATATCTTATCGTTGTTGATGTGATTATCTTTAAAAAGATAAATCACTCATAATAATAAAATAATTACAGCTATTATATTTCTTTTTATACAACAAAGTATAAAAAATAGATTTTGATACTTTTAATTTAAATTATAATTAAAAAAAAAACTAGAAACTAGGCAATTGCAAAATTTCATTTTGATCTAGCTGCCCACATTACACCAACGCCGATAGCAACTCCAATAGAAAGGAAACTCCCGATCGTCACAGCTGTTGCACCTTCTGAAAGAGTGAATTGTGTTGATTGCGTTGATCGCGGTGATCGTGTTTGTTGTGTAATTGGCTGTGTGGAAAGTATATTGTCACTTTCAATGGCACGGGAAATATTATTTGTCAATTTACCAGATTTTACTTCGACACATAATCGAATCAATGGAGCTTTTTGACCTTTTGCAACTTCCATAGCGATAGTCATATCTT